AAATTTCGTGCTCGTGTCAAAATTCCTGACACACGTGGGACCCATGTAATATCTCTGACGGGAGCCCCTGTGAAGGATAGAGGATTTTCCTCAAATACTACGAGCCCCAAGGTCGTGCAGAGAAGAACAGACTGCTCAAGGAATATCACGGCTTCAAAATGAAGAGTCGAGAAGGCCCGCAAAAGTACTTCGGGAGGTTTACTATTTTAGGGAGTAGGCTAGCCTCGCATAGTACGACTTACTCAGACGATGAAGCTAACGACCACTTGGTGTCTGCCCTGTCGTCTGATTACTCCCTTCAGAGGAGGATGTTGGACAACATGTCAGATTTGACCCTCGAAAAGGTAAGAGCAGTCTGTGAAGGATGCCTACACGGACCTGGTGCGCGCGCAGGAGGAGGAGCAAAAGAGTGGCGTCGGACACGCCTTCGTCGCTTCCGGTGCGCCCCGGAGCGACGGACGTGTCCCAAATGGCTCAAGTGGGAACGCCGGCGGACAGGACGGCAAAGGCGACGGTCGGAGCAGGAGCAACGAGACCAGAGGAGACAGACGCTGGGACGTTCATTCGTGGGCAACCCACACCAGCGCGGGGTGCTACCAACAGCAGCACCAGCAGCAGCATCAGCAACAGCAGCCACAGCAACAGCAGTCCCAGCCTCGTCCTCAACAACAGCAGCAGCAGCAGCAAGGCGGCCGCGTTGGGGGGGGCCGGGGTGGTAGACCTCAGCACGGACCTCACGGCGGACGCGGAGGGCAGCAAAGGTACGGACACTTAGCCCCCCCTCGCCCGCAGCAGCAGCACTGGCGCCCCCCGCACGGGCATGCAAATGTGATGCACCAGCAGTATAGTGCCACGCCCTATGGGGGGCCCGCAGACAGTAGCGAGTGTGGGGGTTGGGAGCAGCAGCAGCCACAGTACCCGCAGCCTCCGCCTGACTACAACCAGCAGCAGCCACCGCCACAGCCTCCGCCTCCGCCGACGTTCCAGCAGCAGCAGCCGCAGCAGTAGCAGCAGCAGCAGCCGCAGCAGCAGCACTCGACCCACGCCCCGGCCCACCCATCTCCTCCCGGAGCAGCAGCGCCATCCCCGGGCTCCCTTCACTTCTTGATGGCACGTTTCGTGCCTGCAGGCGAGATCATTCAGTGGTAGAGGATTTGCTTTGGCTGCACAAAACCCGCATTCGCATTTTGGTAGGGAGAGATTTTGGGCCGACCTCGGCGCGACCAACACGTTCGTTAGCAGCAGCCATCAAATGTTCGACTTCAGGCCAGTGCCGCCCGGTAAGGAGTACATACAAGTAGGAAACGGTGCCTATTTGCGCGTGCAGTGTGTTGGAAGGTAAACATGGCCTTTCACGTGCAAGACCAGTAAGGGGAGCGTGATTTTTGCATGCAGATGTCGAATGTGTACGTTGTGCCTGGAATCGCGTTCATCCTTTTTTCGTTGCACCACACGCAGCGTAGGCAGCGCATCGTTCTTGACAAGACAGGCGTTCACCTATTTGATGGTAGGCTTTCCTTTGCATAGTCCGACATAGGATGCTCGCTATGGGCTATTCGATTGCCTCCCGATTACAGTGGTAGTGCTGTGACCTCTAGCCCCGATGCCCCTCCCGGTGTTCTGCCCAAGCCTCCCCGCCTAGGGTTGGCACAGGCCTTGTCGCGGCAAACCCTCCTTTCCCACAGAGTACAGGAGCGGGCACGACTTCGAGTGCGAGTGCAAGTTCCGGTTTCCAGTCCGTTGCTGCGGCGGGCGTTGTACCTGCGAGTTCCGGCCTCCAGTCCGTCGCCACGGCCGGCGTTGTACCTTCGACTCCTGGCGTCCAGCCCACCGGATCCGACGGTGTAGTACCTTCGAGTCCCAGCGTCCCCTCCACCACGTCCGGTGTAGTGTTTCCGCGTTGTGCATTCCCGCCCATCGACGTAGATGTAGTGCCAACGACTATTGCCGAATTCCAGCCTGTAATCACAGCTGCCGTAGCATCGTCTGAGATTGTTTCTCCCTCCGTCGTTGACCCGAGCGATTTTCGTGAAGTTGTGATCAACCCCCTCATCCCCCAGGACCATTTGCCTCTCATGGATATGAGCATGTTCCTTAGTGTAGGCCTGATGGATGGAAAAGTCTCGGTCTCACAGGGTGATTTTTTTCCGGATGCGCTTGATGTTTGCGATTCTGCAACACCCCCTCCCCCCACGTTTGCCGTGATGATTGATGAATTGGATTGCCTGAGAGGTTTTGTTGCTGGATGCAGTGAGCAGCAAACCCTAGCTCCCCCCTCCCTCTCGCATGCCTTGGTGATTATCGCCCCCGGTGCTTCCCCATTTTCGGTAGGAAAATCCACGCCGACCATTGACATCAATTTGTTCCGTGCCTCCACCGGCCATGTCAACGAATTCTTGATGCGTGAAACGGCCAAGTAGCAGGGCGTACGACTGGTGGGGGAGATGCAGCCGTGTGTGGACTGCGTGGAGGCGAAGGGAAGGCGAACACCGGTGCCGCGGCGTGGCACCCGCGCGGCGGTGCCGTTCGGCAAAGTCCACATCGACCTCACAGGCCCGTTCTCTGACGCGCTGGACGGCTCTCGGTACCTGATCATGTTCCTGGACAGCGCATCGCGGTGGCAACGGGGGTACGGGATGCGGGCCAAGAGCGACACCCTGAAGTTCGTGCAGCGGTTCCTCGCCGACATGAACGGCATAGGCACTCCGGGGTGTTTCCGCATGGACAACGGCGGCGAGTTCATCGGCTCCACGTTCACCTCGTTCTGCGACGCTGCTGGCATTCGGCGCGAGTACACCGCCCCCGACACCCCCAAGCAAAACGCGGTGGTCGAGAGCGCCATTTGGCG